CAGGAGGAAGGGATGGTAAATAAAGTAACCCAAACTGTATAGTATAACCTATTAAATGGAATAATAAATGTATAAGAATGATAAATGCTAAAACACTTGTAGCCAAACGACATGCTATACGTGATGATGGTTTTTTTTTCTGTTTTGCTTTTTGTTTTGTTTTGTTTTCCTCTCATTGTTGTGGGTATGTGTTGTCTATGTAACAAAAAAAATAATAATAAAAAAATTGTGTGCTTGAAAACCAATGTATATTTATGATAATTGCAGCATCCCAAGGTCATGTGATTGCCTTTATGACTTTCCCAGATAGCTTCTGACAAGCAAAAGTCAAGGGGGGAAGCCAGATTCATTTAACGATTTCAGTGATTTGCATAAAGCCAAGGCAAAAAAAGGTCATAAAATCAGGTGCAACTCCCTTACCAACCACCTTGCTTAGCAATGGAAATTCTGATTCCAACTGCAGTCGTAAATGGAAAATTACCTATATGAAGTTTCTTAAACCTTTCAGACCAATGGTGGGAATATTGTCTTCTTCCAGTTGTTTCCTAATGCTTAACATCCATAATTAACACAGCTGATATGGAGTTCAGAAAGATTTGGAGAAATAAAAAATCCTCATTCTTGAATTTGATCTAGTCAAGTCAGCATGTAATTCAATATATGGTTATCTGGAGATTTAGATAGAGATGTTCTTTCCATTTGCAAATTACCCATCCATATCAGTTGAAACCAAATTAGTCTTATATAGAATGAATTTACTGACTGAAGTCTAGTCACATAACTCCTGAGGTCTAAGAAGGATATCTTGCTATATTTTTTAAAAAAAGAAGATATTAAGGGACATAGTCCAGGATCTTTTAAATGCAAAAATATATATTATATACATAACTTTTTAAAATTTATTTATTTATTTATTTTTCTTGTTTGTGTTTATTTAATCATGTATATGTAGTATATATTGGAGGTGGTGACCTTTGAGAGCTGTATGCAACAAAATTTCAGTTTAATGTATGCAGATTTGTGTGCATTCAAAGTCACAAAGTTTATTCTATTCTATTCTATTCTATTCTACCAATGAGTGATCATTTCAGCAACACTGCGCTTCCAGTTCAGTTGTGTGCTAAAATCTTTCTTGTTAGATGGATAAATTATGTTGAAAGAACCAATTTCATTTTCCTACAATTTCAAGTACTGGTAATTTAATGTTCATATACTTTGGCTATTCTTGTTAATTTTCTAACCAAATTAATATCACAATGTAATCAACCGAGTGTTGAAAGCAATGATTCAGGTCCTAGCCAAAGAATTAAAAGTCATGGAAGTACTGCCATAAAATGTATACTGTGCCAAGGTAATCTTTTGCAAATGTAAGGATATTAATCTATTAAGTTTAAAATTTAGTTCAAGTCAGATTAGTCTCATATAGATAGGGAAACCATTCTGAGGCCACTTGCATTATATTCAAAATCTGTGTAGGGTATCTTACTCAAGGTAGTCCTTATTTGCTGACTGCCTTATTTAACATTTGAATGATTATAACCACCACTTATAATGGTGTTTAAAAAAAAAACCTTTGACAACCATCACAATATCCTATAATGACAATCACAATTTGTGTGCTTTGTAACCAGATAATGATAAGCAGTTAACACAGAACATAGAAATATCATTAAGTGACAATTATGTAACATTTCAATACAATAAAATGGGTCATGATGCCATAAATCAATTGTGGTCATATGATTTTCTGCTTAGCAACGGTGATAGACTTGCCTGTCCCAAATGTGATCAGTAAGCAAGAACTACCTGTATGAGATTAAACAAAAACTTTGAAGATATTAGGAGGTTTAGGCAAAGTTTAAAATGTGGTTTGGAGCCTCTTTTAAAATCAGTATGACAGATAATTTTTTACACATTATTACTGCTAATAAGTACTACTGTTTTAAATTACTGAATAATATTCAATAATTCCAAACTTTCAGGAATCCTGCCTCTGCTATTTAGTATACCATTTTCTTATTGACTTTAAAAACATCCTATAAACTTAGACAAACTGAAACTGTTTTTTGTTCTTTGTCATGACTTCTGTTTTATTACTTCACCATCAGCTCCTAATGCATCTGCTGGTTACCTGGGCAGTTGACTTATCAACGCGGTTGCTCTTGTCTCTCAAGCTGATGTAGTGAACTTTCAGAGGGGGAGCACCAAGTGCTTCTAGGGCTAAGGGGTCTGCTTGAAGTTGCTTAAGAGCATCCTGATAGTATGTTGTTTTAGAGAAAACCCCTGAATAAAAAAGCAAAAAAGCAAAACAATATTATTTTGGACAGAATATCAAAAAGAACACAGTTAAATATTAATCAGACCCAGAAAGCCATCCAACTGATGCTCAAGCCAAGAAAATTAAAGTGCTGAGAGTCTCCTAGAGTTTCCTTCCTTTACAGTCCCAAAGGTGCTTTTTTCATGAGGCAACTAAACTTTTTTAATTTTTTTCCTGAAGACGTTTTGCTTCTTATCAAAGAAGCGTCTTCATATTAGAAAGTCACTTTGAATTGAGCAAATAGGGGCTTCATTGTTCTTTACTCATCCATCCCAAATGTGCAGGGTCTGACTAAAACAAGGATTAAATTGCTTACTTCCCAGCTTGGAACAGGAAATTCAAAAATATCAGAGGAGCTAAAGTCACTGTTGCAAACCACATTCTTTCTATTTCATGTCATTATTTCATTTCCCTTTATATCAAGAGTACCCTGTGCTGCTCTCCTTTAAAGTTCTCTATTCATATCTATAGACTGGGCGAAGATCCCCCAAGGCGAAGACTCAAAGGCATCTCAAAAGTTAGGCAGAGATGTTTTAGATGTACCAGATGGAAAATCTCCTCATTCTTGACATATCTCATCAGAAACATCTTGTCAGAAAAGAGACAGGGACTATGTACACCAGCATCAGAACTAGATTTTCGTTAATTTCCTCCACTACAATTAATGAAAAAGAAATAAAATGGGTGTTGGTCCTTACCTGATATGCCCTTTCTCCCGATGATGGAGACAGCAGCCAAGATGGGTTGTCTCTGTCTAATGACCAATAGGATTGAGCCTACAGCTGTGACACCACTGGTACCACTGGTGACTTCTCCCAGCTTTAACGAAGGTAGATCTGTAGACTGATGCATTGTGTAAATCACAACATCCGATAACATAATCATGCTCTCCTCCAGTATGCCCTAAACTATTCCTAATCCATGAATCGCTAACAGTCTCTCAGAGTTTAGTCATCTTATGAGATGGGGCTGGCTACTGTCTCCACCGTCCGGAGAAAGGACATATCAGGTAAGGACCAACGCCAAGTCTCCCCAGTTGGTGGAGACAGCAGCCAGGATGGGACATACCAAAGTTTGCCCATGATATTAAGAGCGGGTAGATGACTGGCCTGAGGCTGATTGTCCTGTTCTGACTTGTTGGAGAACCCTCCTGACAAAAGCAGCATCTGCTGACACATATCTGTCTAATCTATAATTATTTACAAACAGAGATGGTGAAGACCACATGGCTGCTTTGCAGATTTCCTCGACTGACACTTGGGTAGACCAAACTGCCAAAATGGCCACACTTCTCGTCAAATGTGGTGTCACATGAGGAGGGAGCCGCAGTCCCTGAGCTCCATAGGATTTCAAGATGCAGGACCTGATCCAATGTCCAATGGACCTGGAAGAGATTTTGGCACCCATGTTAGTTTGATGAAAAGAAACAAACAGGGCCCCTGAGTGTCAAAAAGATGGAAATGTAGATGTGGAGTGCACGGCGCACGTCCAGCTTGTCCCATTTGTGCTCAAATCTGTGGGCAGGGGAGAGCAGAAATTGGGTAGAATGATCTCCTGGGCCCTGTGGAACCTACTGTTGACCTTCAGGATGAACGCTGGTCAAGCTGAAGCACTACCCTGCCTCATGGAAAATACAAAAGTCTTGCCCAGTGGACAGAGTTGCAATTTCGGAAATGCAGTGTGCTGAAGTAATTGCTACCAAAAAGGCAACTGTGAGGGACAGGTACCTCATGCAGATGGTACGAAGTGGTTCAAAGGGAGATCTTGTGAGAGTGTCCAGAACCCTGCCCAAATCCCAGGTGGTGAATCTGATTGATGTTGGCCCCCGGAGCAAACAAGTCACTAAAGGATGGTGGAGAGAATCTCGAATGATGGAGAGTAGAACCGATGCTAACGCAACCACTTGCCTTTTTAGGGTGTTGATGGAAAGACCCGCATCCAGTCCTTGCTGGAGAAGTTCAAGATCGACAGGACCAATGCCGAGGTCAGGACAATATCGTGACTGTCACACCAGGTGTGAAAGACCCTCCAGGTAACATCATATATACGGTTGGTGGAGGTGCACCTTGAGGATTGGAGAATTTGTATGACCCTTGGAGAGAGATTCGGCACTGCTAGGGTTGTCTGCTCAATCTCCAAGCGGTCAACTGCAACCAGAGTGGGTCCAGATGGATGAGAGAGCCCTGTGTCAATGTGGCCCTGGGAATAGGGATCTGCCATGGAGGGGCCATGGAGAGGTTGACCAAGTCCGGGAAACACGGCCAGTGGGGGAACAGAAGGAGGAGCTCGGCCTGCTCTTTGATCATCTTGCGGATCCCCCTCTGGACTAGCGAAAGAGAGGGGAATGCGTAGAGGAGACCCTCTGGCCACGTGCAACGAAGGGCATTTACCCCCGCCGACCCCGGGCCTGCATACCTGGTGAAGAAGATGGGCAGTTTGTTGAGATGAGTCGAGAACAGATCTATCACTGGAACGCCGAACCTGTGGATCATTTTATGGAACAGCTCTGGTGTTATGCTCCATTCCGTGTGATCGACTTGGGATTGGCTCAGCCAGTCTGCTTGGACTTTGTCTACGCCACTAATGTGTTTCTCGTGGAGTGACAACAGAGGATGTTCCGCCCAGGTGCCCAGGCGATTCACCTCGTCCATCAGAGCGTGGGACCACGTGTCTCTTTGTCAGTTTATGTGTGCTTTTGTTGTTATATTGTCTGTGAGAACTAGTACATGTGAGTTCATCACAAGGTCTCAGAACTGCTTGAGAGCTAGGTGGATAACTCACAGTTCGAGACAATTGGTGTTGTGTCTTTTCTCCCGAGGTGCCCTGTGCAATCTGAGAGTGGAGATGGGGCCCCAACCCACGATACCTGTGTCCATCGTTATTGTGATGCAGGCCGAGTCCCACAAGAAGGACCCCTTGGTGATAATTGAGGAGAGTCACCAACCCAGGGACCTGATTACCTCTGTTGGAACGGTGACCAACCTTGCTGAACAGCTTCTGTTGGCTCTTTGGTGTGGCAGGAAGAACCACTGCAGCCCCCAACTGTGCAGCCTGGACCAGGGGACGATGCCGAAACAGGAGACCATTTTGCCCAGGAGTTGGGAGAATCTGAGGAGAGATATTTGGCGGCTCCTTTTCACCTGCAGGACCAGTCCTATAGGCTGGAGAGGCGGTCTGGGAAGAGTAAAACTGTGCCCTACAATGTTGTCGGTTACTGGGCCTAGATGCAACAGCCTTGTTGTGGGGACAAGGTGGCTATTCTCCATGTTGATGGAGAAGCCATGCTCCCTGAGCGTCGAGAGGGTGACCTCAAGATCTTTGCACGCCTGATTCGCTGAACTGGACTATATCAAGATGTAGTCAACATAGCCCTGCAGTCTGATGGGCCAAGCATGGAGATGGGCTGCTAGTGCTGCAAGGACCTTTGTGAACACCCTCGGCGCGGACGACAGGCTGAATGGGGGAGGGAGCTGTCCTGGTAATGCTTTGATGCATAGCAAAACTTTAGAAATTGCCTGTGGGCGGTAGAATGGGGATGTGCCTCTATGCCTCTGTCAAGTCCACCGATGTGAGGTGGTCGCTCTCCCTGATCCCCTCTAGGATGGTCTGGATTGAATGCATTTTGAACCTGTATATTTGATATACAGGCTCAAGGTTTCTAGGTTGAGAATTGATCTCTACCCACCCGATGCTTTTGGTACAACAAATAATTGAGAGTAAAACCCTTGATCAACCAGATATGCGTGGATCTCCAGCAGATGGTGGACCGCTTGTTCCATCAGGAGTCTGCAAGATGGCTCCCAGGAGACGGGGCAAAGGGAAAAAAGCATCAAGGGAGTGGAGAGAAATGACAGGCCAAATTTTATTGTGTTCAGAACTCACAGGTCCGTGGTCGTGGCTTCCCACGGTCAGTTGGTAGAGCCCTTGAAGGGCTTCTTAGGGGGGAAACGTTGGCTTCCCCTCTCAAATCTGTCCTGTGGCTGATAGAACTGCCTAGAATTTGATTGGCATTGAGGACTAAAGGCAACCCCCCCATTTGATCCCCGAAAGGGAGACCTGCTGTCAGCTTCTGTTTCACTATTCGCTTTCAGCTGCCATTGAAATGGGGAGGGGGGCATGATATTTGGGAGGGATATGTTTGGTACAGGAGATATTGTTAAGTGGGAGTTTTGTTCTCACCATCTACTGCACATGCTGATGGCTGGTGTGTAGAGTTGGTCAAGGCCAATCGTCTGCATACCAACCTTATGATGCTTCTTGGAGATGCAAACCACATGACACCTGAGGGACTTGCAGATTGGACAATGGGATGGGGGTTACCGGGGGGAAGGTGGTTGGACAAATATTGATATGTTTGATTTCGCGCGCTTTTGCCTCAGACCTTGCTTTACTTAGCTGCCATCTTTTCATAACCAATAAAGTACTCTTAATTCTGCAAAATGGAGTTAAGTGGTTTCTTTCTTGGTTGCTGAAGGCGTCCGGCTTAACACATGCGATAGAAGGGAGAAGGCTTGTTTTCGAATTTGTGAAAAAGAGAAAGCAGAACCTTGCATTTGTCAGATTCCACCAGTAGGGGTTTCAGCGGAGCCCCAAAAAGTTTTTCTCCTCCAAATGCACCTGAAACCAGCTTCCATTTGGCTCTGGCATCTGCTTGCCATTGTTTCAACCAAAGCAAGTGTCTGATAGAAACTGAGGAGGCCATGGCCTTAAAAGAGAACCTGACTGAATTGAGGGACGCATCTGCCACAAGTTCCATGGCAACTTTGATTTCACTAAGGTCCCTATGAGTTCTAGCATCTGATGGGGGAAGGCATTCCTGGAGCTGTTTGATCTAGAGAATGGCCGCTCTGCTGAAAAAAGAAGAAGTGGGGGTTCTAACAGCCCATGCAGAAGCCCGGTGCCCTTTCACAAGCTTCTGCCCGAAACGCTTGTCTTCAGGTTTTAAGACTTCCTTGGGGCCCGAGTTAGTGCGAAGGGGAGGACAGGGTCGCCACTGGGGGATGTGCAGGTAGGGTTTCCAATAGCTTTGCTAGCTCTGTTCCCACATTGTAGAGTTTCTTTTCCAAAGAATTGGGGAGAGGCCCTGATCCCGGGGATCCCCATTGCCTTTGGACTAAATCCACAAATAATTTGGTAAAAGGAATAACTTCCTTCTCTACCAGGAGTTCCAGAAAAAGAGGATACACTGGATGCCCAGTTCCTGAGTCTGAGACCTTGGTGATCTTTTTAGCCTTAAGGAGAGATTTAAATACTGCTGATTTGAACAAACCTACAAAGGTAGGTTGATCAGGTGTTAAATCCTCATCCTCCAATAAGTCAGAGTCTCTAACTGCCTGTTCCTCCTTCATCCCTACTGAGGCCTGGTCAGAATGGGTAGAGACTGAGACTGAGAGGATGGACTTTTGCTAGTTTGAGACTGTCTTGGTGATGGTACAACTGGAGCCAGATGATCAGCAGCATGTTGTTGGGGACCTGCAGCAATGCCTCGCTTTATGGCCTCAGATATTATGGAGGCCATATCAAATCTAACTGCTGGTAAGGGGCCCTGCACAGCCAGAGGATTTCCGGTCTCAGGAGATGGCTGAATGGTTTGAAGAACCAGAGAAGGTTCCACAGGCCCTGAACCATGTGATTCCTGAGATTATTCCTCGTTATCTGAGGAGAAATCAGTGGGCCTGTGACTTTCAATCAGCAATGGCCCTGACAGGAAAGGATGATGGCTGGCGCTTTGCAATGACCTGGGTCTGCTGCTTGGCTGCCAAACGCTATGCCTTGGCAAATCGCTTGTCCAGCTGGTGTTAGCAGCGATCCTCCGCCTTTTGGGCTGCCTTGGAAATCTTAGGTCTGTCCTTTGGACTGGGTTCTGGTGCTGTCCTCTTTCTAGCTGTTGGTAAGCCAGAGGGGTCAGCAATGGGGCCATCAGGAGGGGACAACTGAGGACTGGTAGGATCCATATCCCCGCTTATCAATTAAGTCATACAATTGGTGATTCAGGGCTCTCTTGCTGAGCTGTAAGATGCCGCTGTGCTGCTGGCAAAGAAACGAGCCTTTGGGTGCTTTAAAATGTTATCGGAGGTTTTCGTGCCAAAGAAAATGGTCGCCTGAACTCTAACCTTTGCTAAAATGGATGCTGGAGCTGTTTTTGGCACCAAAATGAAGCAAAACTCAAGGAAGCCTCATAGCCAATTGCAAGAAAGGACAGAAGCTGTTGGGTTACTGCCCGTGGGCTTGTCCGAAGGTCTGACGTCACAGAGTGCTCCTGAGCGCACTCGTGGCACTCACAACTCTCTGAGAGGCAGCAGCCTTCGAAACAAGCAGCAGGTGTCAATTTGAGGTAATTTGGAGAAATTTGGCGTTCCAATAAGGAGCAACCGAAGCTAATTAAAGCCAATTGAAATATTTAGATAACAATAGCTAACCACTAATTACTGATTAAATTTGGAGGAGAGTTGCAAAAGTGTGCAGATTGGACTGAGTCTAAAGCTGGAAGGAGTCACTAGTGGTACCAATGATGTCACAGCTGAAGACTGAGTCCTATTGGTTACTGGATAGAGACAACCCATCTTGGCTGCTGTCTCCACCAACTGGGAAGAGGAAGTCAGTAGAAACAAAGGAGTAGGGCAAAAGAAAAAGAAACCCTCTTTTTTAGAAAGTAGTTATTACTTTCAATAAATTCTCCCACCAGAGTCATTATAGTTGTTTTATATCTTGATAAACCTTAAAAACAAAATATCACTATTTATTTGGCTAGAATTTGCTTAGAGTTAGGGAATAGAAAAGGCCTCTTAGTTGTCTTCCATTGTTAGTTTTGCAGCAATGAATCTAGCCTGGAAGAGCAACATTTAGTGCAAATGTAGACCCATAAAGTTCAGTTAACCTTATTGACTGATCGAGTGATAATTCTGACCTGTACTTTTTAAAACAAATTTAGATTTTTAAAAATCTCCCAGTACATACAATAAATACATTGGTGTTTATAATATATTCTGGATATTTATATACTCCCGCTACTTAGTCAGGAAAATTTGGAAATTAAATGTCTCCATTGGTGCCTTGGAATTATTATTTCAGCATTGATATTAACACATTTTGGCTTCTAGTGCCGCTTCCCCTTTTGAGAAAATCAGTCCATTGGTTGGCAATCCAATAGCAAGCAAAAAAGAGCAGGATTTTTAGTAATGTTTACTAACTACAACTTTCTTGTGTTTTTATTTCTTAGCAAATGGCGGGTCGTTGTGGGAACCAAACTGTCGCCATAACAGGCTAGGTAAAATAGCTAGGAAACAAAGAACAAAGCTATCTGAATTAAGAACCTAGTGGACATTTACCGAGGCCAGTTGGCTGACGTGCCAAGGAAACAATTCTGAGAAAAACAAGATAAGAAAGTGTTGGGATTCATTCCAGGTGTTTGTGTGCAGGGCAGCTTCTGCTGTCTGAAACACACATACACAGGGATGAAAAACATCGCACCAGAAACATCTTTCTGGCCTAACGGTCATAACTCACTATGCAGCCTCATGTAACAAGAACTATGTGAGCCAGCTACTCCCACACATGCCCTTTCTCCCCCCTATGCTGTGCTATAACTTTCTATTCCCTCTTTCCCCCTCCCAATGCCACGCAGCTTGTAATCTTCTGTTCCCCCTTTGCCCACCCTTTGCCATGATGTGATTTTCTATTGGTTTATTTGTAGAATGCTGTGAACTTTTTATTAGTTTACTTGTGCCATGTGTGATTATATATGCCTTTTGATACGCTCCTTTTTGATGACGCTGTAACTAACTTTTTCTAATAAAAAAGCACTCTGGAGAGACAGAGATTGCCATTTCACCCAGATCGCAGCCTCGTTGTCATTCTTGAGCATGATCTTAGGAATTGGACCGTGAAGTGGACCATCGGTTGGGGAGACCCCTGCACCCTGCAGGCGCAGTCTCTTCAGGTCGTATCTTGCTCTGTTCATGAAAGCAGAGCATGATGGAAAAATCTACATTTATAGTATTGTTTTGGCAGAACAACAGAACTTGGTTGCATCACATGCTTTTTTCCCCATAAGCTTGTATGATGGATAGAAAATTATTTTTCACCAAAGGATGTATAGCTACGGTTCT